ATAAATAAACGGAACCTAAACTTATGAGCATCTCCAACGCATGAATGTTGTTATTATATAAATTTTGACAAATGTTAATGAACTAGATGCATTGTGAACCACATAAGAAAATTTGTAAGTTCACAACTTTTAGTCTAAAAAATTATCTCCAACGCACAGTGTAATCAAACATAATATTGTTCACTTAACTAAAATAATATATATATATATATATATATAAGAAAATAAATAAAATAATTAGATATTTTGAAAATGGTAATAATATTTTTTCCTGTTTTCTTTATTGGTTGACGAGAATGTGAAAGATAATGTAAATTAACCACATTCTTCTCTATATTATACACATTAATTATATCCATCTCATCACTACATTTGTGATAACATTATGCACTGGAGTGTTAAAAGTGGAGAATTTGTTAAATTTGTTAATGTATAGTGTACTTTACTACAACTACATTTAAAAATTAGAGATGCTCTACTACACAATCATGTTGATTTCATACTACACAATTATGTTGATTTCATACACAATTTTTAATGATTCTACACATATAATACTAATGGTTCTCATTTAATCAAAGACCAAATATATGAATCTCAAATGGTCCATTGTAGAAGATGCAAAGCTAACAAATAGCCAATAGGACAAAATATGCTCCATAAATTATCCTTTTTTTCTACCATTTGAAAGGTATATACTCAAACTCAAACCACTCATTATAATTTGGGGAATGCTTAAAGAACATGAGAATTAATGTTTCTTGATAAGATTCTAATAATATTTTGCTTTTAATGAATTGTCTTTGTCACATCCTTTCCTTATTCCTCAATATGTGACAATTATTTCATTCTCATATATATGCTTCTTCAAATTGCAAGCAAAAAGTATTATACTATATAATATCAATCACTAAACACATGAAATATGTTGGCATATGAATTTGTTTGTGACTCACATGATCAATCTATCAGCTAACTTTCATAATGTTGTTAATTATTTTTTTTTTTAGATCATTTTGACTTCTTTAACTCTTACAAATATTATAAACAATCAAGTAAACTTTTTAGAGAAGCGTCACGGTAACATTTGCTCTGATACCAACTGATGTATGGAAGCGTACGAATGAAAAAGATAAACGAGATACTCTCTCGGTAAAACTCACAAAACTCAATCAATTCTTATTATCAATTCACCACCAAATAACAAAAAAGATGAGTCTTTAAATAAGACATCTAAACCCTATAACCTATAATGTCCACCAAGTCACTGAATATAAATAAATATTAACTGTTATTATGAACAATATATATTAATTAAACTACCAAATATTTTACTATAAAAATAATAGATATTATTCTGCATCAGTTTACAAAAAGAGTTATTGAAAATAAACATAGCAGATATATATGCATTATTTTTCTTATTATAACTTTATCAAATTCAGCGATTTAGATCTTGCAAATAAATATATACCTTTCATAAAAACATCAAATATTTGTTGTGTTTTATAACTTTATTAAATTATGATTTCTTATATTATTCTTTATTAATTAGGCCACAAGTTGATATATATACCTCAAGACATTTTCATATATTATCAAAACATGTCAGAGACCCAAATTGGGAACGTGCCAAATTGTAAAAGAGTGCAGGTCCTTATTAATAATAACTCCCACTTGTAAAAAAATAAATAAATAAAAGCAATATGATAATAAATATATTTATATAAAAACAAAATTATTTTTCCAAAGTGAAAACCATATAATTTTGAATTTCATTGTAAAAGTATAAAATTCCCGTGTGACCCTTCTATTATTAGAAATTTGGAGTCTATTTAGTATTCTATACAAATATCTAACATACTTTCAAACTAATATATTCTGTATTACTAATAATAATCAGTTTTGCTATGAAGCCAACAGTTGACTCCATATATAGTGGAGTCAACCTTCTATATACAACAAGTAAATCATACCGTATTAATAAAATTATCAGTATTTATTTAAGTAATCAGAGTATATGGTATGGTTAACTTGTTGTATATAAAAGGTTGACTCCACTAAATAGTCAACTGTTAACTTCATAGCAAACATGAATAATAATAACAACAATAACAAATATATGTGCAAAAATGAAACTAATAGCCCAATCTAGACTTTGGCAAACATGAAAACAAGAGAGGACCTAAAAATAATGTCCATCTATACAATATCTTGGAATAATATTAGAATTTTTTTTTTATGAGGTCAATTGTTTCATGGCACAAACTAAATCATGAATAAGAGGAAATAAGTTTCTAGTGTTCAACACCAAGATTCCATTATCCATCTAGTGAGCTTCTAGCCATGAGTCTCATCTTGTGGTCAACACTGTTACATTAGTCAATCTCTAGTACAAAATAGCTACTCCATAATGGTTGTCCAAAATATAATTGAAGAATATGGAATATTTTTTTCCCACATTATTATGCATTACTATATATAAATGCAGAATTTTTTGAACATGTGTACTGAATTCATGTTTCATAATCATATGTGTCAAATTATGGTGTTTCACAGTAGTCATTTGACTTCTATCCA